GTGAAGAGGTAAGTACTTATTGGAAATATGTTTTCAGTGTAGGAAAATTATAACATCCAGTCACATTAGACAAAAACTAATTACAATGCATTATAATAACTCTTTGCAGATTAGACCTGAAATATGATAATAATAAAAATTAAACATTCTGTCTGGAGACTTGTATAGGTTGATTAGTCACTTAAAATCACAACTAAGAAACTAATTATGAGATACTGATTTATTTACAACTCTTACTCTTCAGTTCAAGGGAATATACAAGATTTACATTATTTGCCCAGAGTTAGTTGTGGGTGTACAGTGTTCCTTCTCTCTTAAACTCCACCAGTACATCCTTGAGTGCAGCAGTGGTCCTCGACTTGCTGACATAGTGGTATGCCTTTTGCCTCAAAATTTACTTCTGGCCCTCTTGATATTAGTGAGCTCAGTATGTAAGTAGTATACTTCCTCGTTGATCCATGACATAGGTATAGATCTCTGACATAGCTAGTCCTCATCCCAGTCTTGAAGAACCTAAGCCTTCATCCATTTGGCAGCTCTCTCCCGACAGTGTCGCACATTTACTGGGATCTGCCCTAGCATGGGCCAACTCTTAACTATCCTGGGTGGCATAGTTAGGAACTCCAGTCTTGGCAGTCTCTGAGGCTGTTTTCAGGGTTGGTACTTTTATGATTCCTTATCTGTCTTTGAGGTAAAGACCCTTGCTTCATCTCTGCTTGCTGTATGATGGCTAGTATGGCGGTAGGAGATGGCAGCAAACCCTGTACTCAACAGTGGTGGTGACATTGCCTGAACAAGCTGGTTTGTTTGGACTGTCACAGAAGTAATTATTAGTCCTGCTCCAACTTTCTCGAAGCCTGTTCAACCCTCAAAAATATTCAGTTTCCAGAAAGATTTTTTGGGTTTAGGGATGTAATGTTCCCACCCTTCAACAGTGACATTCTAGGAGCAGGTCGTGGTGCTTCTTTGAAAGAGTTTGACTCCTGTGAAGTAGTAATGGTGTCTGTTACTGTGTTTTCTTTAAGTTTGGCTTCTTTAGATTTGACAAAAATGTGGTTGTTGGTGCTACTTCTTCCATTCTAGGTACATTTAATGGAAGCCTAAACACCATAGAACTTCCTGAGGTCCATTTGAGCTGCCTAGTCCCAGGAGATTTGCCACTAGCCCAGTGACAGAGATAGTGAGCTCTTCCATTTCAAAAGGTCTAATACATAAAAAAACAGTCCTGAATAATATGTATCACAAAACAAGAAACATGATAACTGAATCACTTTCAAATAACAGACTTTCGTTCATCATGCATGAATTGAGAATGGGCAGAAAATGTTTTGTGTGAGAGTTATGGAAGCAGTCTTTAGTGATACCATGATTATCTATGGTTACTCACTCTTACAACACTGATGTGTTCAGGCATGACAGGAGGGGGAATGAATTATAGAAGTGATTTTAAAATGGGAAATTTTAAAGATCTGGAAACAAAAATTATGAATTTGTAATAGCTTAGAAATGTAGTAAAATGTTGTGAAAATAGTTTGTGAAGGGAAAACAAAATAGTGATTGAAGGTTGAAGATTATATTTTCCAATCAAGATTGGTTATCATTGTTTTGAAAATATGTTCGTTTGTAAAAATCCCCAAGTGATGTGCTCAATAGTGCGAAATACTGAAAAGTTGAGTAGGCATATTGTTTGTGACTTTATCAACTATATATTAGTTTCACCAATTTCATATATATAATTATATCCAAAAAAGTTTATATAACTGTTATGATATTGTTTTATTAAGGGAATGTAGTGCTTTTCTTGATATTCAAGTAACTGTTAAATGTCAGTATGATATTTGACATAATTATGGTATTTCACTTGACATTCATCATATTTTAAACCATTATGATGTGTAAGAATTTCTAATTAAAGTCTTAATAAAATTGATTGCAATTATTTAAAGAATTCAACATTAAATAATTATAACAGTGTAAACTTATTTTCAATAGATGTTAGGGTTAGTAAGCTTATATTAACATTTCAAATAAAATATAAATTGAAAAGACTTCCTTAAAGAAAAATAATAACACTTACTCCACTAATTTTAAATAATCCAGCAAACACAAAATATCACATACAGCTAAATTTCCTTATTTCACTTCTACTTTGTCAATCACATGTTTGTGGTAAAATTTCACCCCAAATATAATAATATCATGTTTAAAAATGTCACATATACACCAAAAGCCCTTTTATCTAAATCTATGTATATATAAAAAATATTATTCAAATACACATTGCCACATGTTAAATGACTAAAGAAAAGCAGTCTTCAAAAGGATACATTCCTTCAATAAAGTGTATTTGTATGTTGATAACCACTCAATGGTAATGTCAATACAGCATGCTGTTAAAGCTGTCAGAATGCCAATGACAAAAATGACAATCCAACGTATTAGGTCTGATTTGATTATATCCTGGCAGCAATAGAAAAGTAAAATTGTAGTTGGGCATGCATTAGTTCTTTAAAACACCTGACTGGTTATCAGGGATGAGAATTGATCACTATTTGCCAGATTTCTACCATTTTCATTCAAGTCCACAAAGAAAATGTTGGAGGAGTACTGGGGCTGGAGACAAGATTCTAGTACTAGTAAGCCTAATCTAAGATTACCTTGTGTGCTTTGATGCTCGTGCTAAACTGAGATCAATATAAGAAGCTCCTTTTAACTTGCTTATTCATAGTAAGTTGGACCAATTACAGAATGTCTTACGAAGCTAAAGGCATTTTAAAACCTTGGAAATGCACAGACTGCTTTAAGTGTAATGGTGAGTACTCAGAGAGGATCAGCATATAAGTAGGCTTTAAATCTTTCACTATCCAATTTTATAGTTTGCACTTTTTGCTCATTTGTTTAGAATTACATAGAATAAATATTTTCTTTCATCAGACATTATTTTTATGTGTGAAATCATTTAGATGGATCCTAAATTAGATAGATAGAAATGATCAGGTAAAAGATGGGGGAGTGGGAATATGACAAAATTCTTAAAATTGTATTCAGTTATTAAGGACTTTCTGTTACAAATAAAAACATACTACAGACATATTAAATATCACATATTCTGAAATTATTTTTTGTATCTTAAGTTATATGAAGGAGGAAAAAATTGCATGACCAAAGAATTTCAGACACAAGAAATCAGTCATCACCTATGTAATTTTCCTCACATTTTCGCTTAGGAAAATGAATGAAGTATCCATATCTGTACTTTTAACCTTATCGCCCCAGGTACCTTTTACTGTGTATGACACAAGGCTTTAGTGTCTTACATTCAAAATTTTATTAAACTACTTTTTGTTTATGTTATACCAATTAGAATAGCATAAAATATTAGCTGATACTCCATATTTTAACAGCATACAAATTTTAAGTTCTTAATTATGCAAGGCAATATTTAAAAAAATCCTGAATTTCCACCAGTGTGACCCATGTGACACATTTTGTCGTAACATGTCATCATCCATATTTTATCCACCACCACTAGAAAAAGTACAAAAGTACGATAGCGTAAAATGAGCTGCACGTTCCCCGAGTGATTTACAACTTATAATGGAATGGGTAGTAGTGAGACATGGTTAAAAGGACAATGAAACAATATAATTTAATTATAAGTAGATGTATACTGTTACGAACTTAAAGCTACTTAAGATAAACAAATGTAGTTTCATGTTACAATTTGAAGTCATTCTAGAAAGAAAAAAGAGTGTTTTAGGTTTATTTTGATTTTATTTTTGGTTGTTACAAGGTTGTTCGAATTGACCGATCTCAATTTGAGATAGGGTAGAGAAAAAACTGTATAAAGTTTTACTGAAAAAAACGTTTGAAATGCATTTAGAAGGTTTTGGGGATTACACAAAGGAAACTTGCACATGGACTATTCAAAACAAAAAGACTTATAATATGAACTGAAAGAATGCCAAATTTTGTGAAGATATACTCACCATGTTGAAAGTTAGAAGTACTAAATCTATAAAGACTTTAATCAAGTACAAAGAGGTCATGGTTGGTCAAATTGACCGAGCCCGTGTTGAGAGAGTTAAATACTTGGTTTGTAATTGATTGACCAGTAACTTGCCATAGTAAAAACTGATCTGTATAAGTATTGCCTTAGTCTTTTATGAAATGACCAATTTGTATTTAATTGGTCTAACCATTGTAATTATAAACACGTGTAGTATCTGTCTATGTCATGAAATGAACAGCATGTATGTTAATTGATCTGTAATTTCAATCATTAAAACATTAGTTAAAGGGGTGAAAATTGACAAAAGTCCATTTTTTACTGATTATCCTTGCAGAAAATAATGTGAATATTTAGTATCCCAGGATGGTGTACAATGCACCAGAGAGCATGTAGGCCCCCTTTGATTTCTGGAAGCAGCCTCTTGACCCTGGGTTTTTATGGGTTGCTGATGAGGACCAGTCAGAAGTTTCATTTGATGTCCTCATCTACGACTAATTCTTTATAGAATATGATAATCAAAATAAGTATAAACTGATAAGATAAGAAATACAGTATTGTGATTCAGTCTTACCTCCCTCACACAAAGCTATCTCAATCTTTTTCTGGCCTCTAAAGATTGCTAAAAATATTTTGCAATCATTGCATCAGACTATACACCCCATCAATTTCGTGACATTTCTGAACATGTACATATCATGTTATTACTCTCCTCCAATAGTATTGTACCACCTATGTTGGTGCAGGCAGCTCCCTCTGCTATTCATGCTCAATCCTTATTTTCTTGATTGGCACAGCATTGTTTAGACACTTGGCTACCATTTATGAATGTGCTTCTTTGCCATTTCAAGTTTTTTTTAACAGTTTTATTTTACTGTGTTTGCATTCACTTGAATTGTAAGAGATCTTCGTATGAATTGGCAATCAATGTATCGACTGCAGAAATTTCCATTATGGTTGAAAACGATACTGGTAAGTGACTTCCCAGGAAATGGGTTCCATTTTATCAGCAGCAGAAGATGAAGAACAAGAAGTCTTAATTCGCAAGGAGCTAGATTCATATGTTCAGCCAGCCATTTCTTCTTCTTTTCCATGTGACAATGTTTCTGAGGAAGAAAACAATTTGGACTCTCTTTTTCTGGCACCTTCTTGTTTTGGTCTGTCATACTCTAAACCTCTTCAGGAGTTTTCACCTTCCACCAGTGCCATGCTGCCACATCATTCACTTTGGTGGTGAATTGTTCTTCTTCTCCTTTCTTCCTATTGCTTCCAGTTCTTCCAGGGGATCTGTGGTAAGGTTTTCAACATAAACACTTCAAACCCAGTTGGTATACCTGTGGTAGATTCAGCTCTGATGCCCTTTTTGTGGCTTTGTCCTTATTTACACAAATTCAATTGTTTTGCATGTTTGTTAATATTATGTACTTCATAGACTTGGCAAATCTTGTGGGTTTGTTAGTTTGTTCTTAATAAGTACTTTAACTAGGCACATTTAGATTGTTTGTAAGTTCAATGTCATTACTACTAGTAACATCTAATTCATTGTTCTATTTGAGTAATTTTGTTTCATCATGGTTAACTACGTACCTTATCATCCTAATTTTTGTCAGTGTTGGACTTAATTTATGTGTCCTATGTCATCTGGTTTAATTTAGATGAATGGTAAGTTAGATATTGATTATTAAATTGTGTTTTCTAGGTAAATTTAGTTGGCTTGCGTGCTTGTTATTATTACATACTTTGTGGACTAGATACACTTACATGGCTGTCCATTTGTATTTATGAGTGCTTTGTTAACTAGGTAGGTTTAGATCATTTGTACATTACATATTACTACAAATAATATATAATTCATTGTTCTATCTGAATAATTTTTTTTTTTGTAATTGTTCATTATTTGTCTTATCATCCTAATTTTCATCAGTATAGGACTTAAACTTTTGCTTTGTTCCATTGCTGACATGCTGCTTTCTTTCTTTCCCGTTCGTTGGGCTGAGCTTCATTTTCTCCTCATAACCTACAATTTGGAGTTTTCTCCCACAGTGTTCACTTTGTTAGTTATTTACGGCTCTAAGTTGTGTTTTCCAGTTCAGGGCCCTACTGTTTGGACTAATCTTGTCCCTTAAAGTGTTTGTTTGGTCAATCTGTAATTCTTTGCACTTTTCTTTCTATGGATGACTGGCTCCTGCTTGCTTCTTCCCATTCATACTCCAGAGACCACACTCCTCTGCTCCTACAGGCTACTGCATGGGTGGGATTCCTGATGACATTGAGGAAATCAGTTTTCACTGCTCTCAATATGCCATTTATTTGTGGAGGTTTTCTTTTTCCAACCTCGGTTGGATCCAGCCTTCTTCTCTTCGTCTTCATGTTTAAGGCAAACAGTTCATGTTCCTCATCTCACATTTCTTACAACTTGAGATTTATTTCTTTCAGGATGTGGGCTTCCTTGGAAGCTCTTTTTTCCATGGGTCAGGTTCCTATGTGTTCCCTTCAGTGGACACTCCTAGATCAGTAGAACTTCTCTTTGGATCCCTGGCTTGATGGTTCGACAGAGACCAGATCACAGGAGGGGTGCTTTTTACTCCACCTTGTCTGGATTTACATCTGTTCACAGACTTAACTTTAGTGTTGGGATTCTTCCTTCGACTCCTGGGAGATTTTTGGTCTCTGGTCAGTCAAGAAGTTTTCTCTCCATATCACCATTCTCGAGCCTTTGGTGGTTTGTCGAGCTTTGTCCCACTTCCTTCCTCTCTTAAGGGGTAGTGATGGTTATGGTACATTCCAATATCTCAACAATGATCACTTATCTCACACCAAGAGTTCTATCCTTATTCTCAACCACTCTGTGTCCCGTCCTACTGGTGGCTCCATTTTGGTTAGTGCAACCATTGTTCCCACTGCTTTGGTCTTCACTTGTACAACTTCCCCTACTCTTACCTCTGTCTCAGTCTCTAATTTGTCAGTTTTGGTCAAACATTGTTCATCCAGATGTAACCACATTCTTCTCACAGATGGATTTTGTCAGTTTCATTGTCTCAGCCCAGGGACTGACTCCAAGAATTGCATTTTTCCTTTCTCTTCTTCCATGACCATTTACCACAGTTGATGGTATACCTTCTGCCTTTGGTCTCTTTTACATTGTTTCTGTTCTTCCCATCTTTCCATTTCTCATCTTTCCCTATTGTTCACCTGGTTGTTTGACAAAGGCTTTTCCTTTTTGATCATGTCTAGCTATCGAACAGCCTTTTTTGGACACTTTTCATTTGTCCAGGTTTTGTCTTCCCCTGTCAATTCTGCTCCTTTTGAGTCATGCATCCTCCACATACCTTTCGTTTTTCTGATTGAGATTGTAGCGTGGTCCTTCATGTCTTTCCTATCCTCCCTTTGCACTTTTATCTTCATGTTCCATCTACCGTCTCTTCCTCATGATCTATTTCATTCTACTCCTTGATTGCAGACATTGTCGTTCAGTTATTTCTGCCTTTAATGTTACCCGCTTCCTCTTAGGTCATACTATATTCCTACCGGTTCTTCCTCACTCAGACCTTTGCTACCCATAAAGGCTGTTTGGCTTTCACATCCACTTCCTTAACTACTATCTCCCACCAGTACTTCCATTCCAATCCTAACTGACTTCTTTGTCTAGTTTGCTCCTTAGTGTTGTGTGGCACATCCTTCCTTCTTTGGGGGTTCAAGTTCCCGACTTTTATTCCCTGGAACCCTTCCATTTCCCGTGATCTATCCCCTGTCATGTTAAACCTTTCACTGTGGCTGGGATGTATATTTTCTAGTGCTCCCACCCCATCACACTGTGACAGGGACAAATGTTATTCAGAATTTCCATGGGTGGCATATGGGAGTAAAATCAGTTGGAAAGTATTTATTGGCATCCCACCTAATGTTGATATATAGTTTCATTCACTGTTTTCCACTCAGATTCTTAAGTGGAATGTACAACAACTTTGTGCCAACTGTGCCAACATCACTAGATTGATGAGTAGTTACCCTAATTATAATGTAAATATGCTTGATGCACTTGACTCAGATAACTTAGAAGATAGTGAAATTGAGTCAAGTGATGTTCAAATGTGTGACTATGAAGAGGCAATAAGACAAGGATGCTAGCTTTCCATCTAGTGATGAACCTGGACCCCCGCAGAGGGAGGCATAAACAGCATCAACAATGGGAAACATTTGTCCCAATTGCAGTGGGAGCAATGGGAAATATATGTTCTTCTTTATGTTTCATTATATATTACCTATAACCAATAGAAAGTCAAGGTTTTAATCTATCAAATGACGTATTGTATAATGTTGTGTTTTGAACAGATAATCGTCAGTTTTACTCAGAGTAGCAACATCATTCCTGTTATCATCATTAACGACTAGCTTGGATGAATTTGTAACAGCTCTTGTCACATAGTTAGAAAGCCAGGAATATTTTGAGAGGTAAGTGAATTTGTCTACTCTTTGCATGTTATTAGTTTATATTCTTTGGTGCATTATTTAATTAAATAAAAATTGTTAAGTGCATTACTATAATTACTATAAAAAATCAGGCTTAACACTCCTCGACAATCAAGGGCAAGAAAAAAGAAGATTAGGTAAGTACTTTATTTCTTGTTTTTCATATTTATTCTTTATTTATTATTATAAAAGTTAACTAAAATTAAAAGTACGGATCTTTTTAAGTTATTTAAGACTAGATTAGGTAAAATAAGTAATAAAATTTTCATGTTAAAATTAAAAATACTTTTCATCATATCAAAAGTCTCAAATTTCCTTTGTATAATCCCTAAAACCTCCTAAACGCATTTCAAACATGTTTTTTCACTAAATCCTTATAATTTATATGTTATTTTCTCTACCCTATCTCAAAACGGAATTGGTCAATTCGACCGACCTCTTAACCACCAATAACAAAATCAAAATGAACCTAGATTAACCTTTTTTCTTTCTAGAATGACTTCAGATTATAAGGTTAACTACATTCATTTTCCCTAAGTAGCTCTAAGTTCATAACATTATACATCTACTTATAATTGAATTCTATTGTTTTATTGCCCTTTGAACTGTGTCTAACTACTATCCGCGCCATTATAAATATAAGTTGTAAATCACTCAGAGAACGTGCAGCTCACGTTACGCTATCGAATTACATTACCCATGAGCTGCTCTCGTGCGTTCCTTGTGAACCATTTAATTATATTAACTTGGCACACAGACTATTCAACACAAATACTCAATATATTCATAGACAAATCTTTATTTTATTTTATTAAAAATACTTCACAAAGAAATATGATTTTTTGTATGTGAAAGACTTGTAATATTAACTGAAAGACTGCCAAATTTCGTGAAGATATACCCAATATATTGAGAGTTATAAGTATTAAATTTATAAATTAAATGGAAAGTAAATAGAATTGTTTTAAACTAATATTAAATAAAAAAACGACTCTATTTTGGTTGTACTTAATGGGTTAAACAATTGTGGTTTGCTTTAAATATATTTTTCAAATAGAATCTTTTGCTTATAAAACTAAATTTTGCTGATTAGACAGCCAAAAATATTGAACATAAATATTTTGTAATGTAATTGGTGGAACTTTTTGAATCAGAATTAAAACTTGATGTAGCAAAATTAGTTCAAACTTTAAAAAACTTGATTAATTTAACTTTTAGACAGAAGTGTGAGTTTCTTAACGTTTTTGAAAACATTGGGAGCCTTCCTCAGCATGAATATTTTTTAATATTCTTGAATTAATCCTCAGTGAGATCAAATTTATGTTAGTTTTTCTGAGATATTTTGGTTGGGTACTACGTCCATGTAATTTGACAGTACCCTTTCAGGTACAATAATAGCTGATAAAGTGTAAAATCTTGAATGGGTAATGAAAAACATTTTATTACAAGAAACAAATGTACAACATTTCGAGAAGCTTTTGTCATCATTAGGTATAAAATTATTATCTGAAAGTGGGTTTGTCATCATCAGATTAATCAGAGATGAAAAAACAAATATTTTTCTCCATTTTTTGTGATTGTCACCCCTAAACCTGTGACATAATAGAAAACTTTAAGTTCCTGAAATGATTTTCTTCCCTATAAAAACTTCCTCTTATTGACATTTGTCATATAATACAATATTTCA